CCACCTGCTCTACCACCGACTCCCTTACCCTTACCACCACCTGCTCCCACCTGCACTCCCCCACCTGTACCCCCCACCTGCCTACCACCTGTACTCCCCCACCTTACACCACCTGCCTACCACCTGTACTTCCCTCACCTGTAAAAACCGCCACCACCGGCCTCTTACACCTGACTCCTAAACCCGTACAACCACCTGCTCTACCCCCTGTACTCCCTCACCTGTACCACCACCTGCTCTACCACCTCAACTCCCTCACCTACAACCACCCGCTCTACCACCTGTACTCCCTCCCCCTGTACCCCCCCACCTGCTCTACCACCTGTGCTCCCTCCACCTGTACCACCACCTGCTCTACCACCTGAATCCCTCCCCTGTAAACCACCCCCTGCTCTACCACCTGTGCTCCCTCACCTGTAACAACCACCTGCTCTACCACCTTACTCCCTCACCTGTACCACCACCTGCTCTACCACCTTTCTCCCTCACCTGTACCACCACCCGCCCCTACCACTGTACTCCCTCACCTGTACCAACCACCTGCCTACCACCTGTCTCCCCCACCTGGGACCCCACCTGCTCTACCACCTGTACTCCCTCCACCTGTACCACCACCTGCTCTACCAACCTGTACTCCCTCAACCCTGGGGACCACCACCCCCTACCACCTGTAAAATCCCTCAACCTGACCACCACCTGCTCTAACCACCTGAACTCCCTCACCTGTAAACCCCCACCTGCTCTACCCCCCTGTACACCCTCACCTGTACACAAACCCCCTGCTCTAAAACCCCCCTGTTTCCCCTCACCTGTACCCCACCTGCCTCTTTCCACCGTACTCCCTCACCTGTACCAACCACCTTGCTCTACCACCTGTACCTCCCTCACCTGTACCACCACCTCTCTACCACCTGTACTCCCTCACCTGGTAACCCCCCACCTGCTCTACCACCTTAACTTACTCCCTCACCTGTACCACCACCTGCTCACCAAACCCGTACTCCCTCACCTGAACCTACTCCCCCACCTGACCCCCCCACCCCTCTAAAACCACCCGTACTCCCCCAACCCGTCCTCCCCCACCTGTACCCCCCGCCCTTTTACCACCTTACTTCCCTCAAACCTGTACAAAACCCCCCTGGGTCTAAACCCCCCCTGTAAAACTCCCCCCACCTGTACCCCACCCCTCCCCCTTCTCCCTAAAACCTGCTTTACCACCCGACTCCCTCACCTGAAAAAAAAAACCGCTCTTTCCCTTACCCCCCTGTAAAAACTCTCTAAAACCTCCCCCCCCCCTGTACCCCCCCTGCTCTACCACCTGTACTCCCTCACCTGTACCACCACCTGCTCTAACCCCCTGACTCCCCTCCCTTAAAACACCTCCACCCCTGTATCCCCCCTGTACTCCCTCACCTGTACCCCACCTGCTCTACCCCTTTACTCCCTCACCGTACCACCACCCCCTCTAAACCCCCTGTACTCCCTCACCTTTAAAACCCCACCTGCCTACCACCTGACTCCCCACCTGTACCCCCTCCCCACCCCTTTACCCCCCACCGCCAAACCCCTGTCTACCCCCCCTGTACTCCCTCACCCGTAAAAACCCCCACCCCTCTACCACCTGACTCCCCCCCACCTTTTTACCCCACCGCTCACCACCTGACTCCCTCAAAACCCTTTCCACCACCTGCTCTAACCCCCTGTAAAATCCCTCACCTGACCACCACCCCCTGCCTCTACCCCCTGAACCCCTCACCTGTCCCCCCCACCGCTTACCACCTGACTCCCCCCACCTGTACCACCCCTCTCTAACCTGTACTTCCCCACCCCGTACACCACCCGCTACCACCTGTAAAACTCCCCCCACCGTACCACCACCCCGCCCCCCACCCCACCTGTACTCCCCCACCTGTACCCCACCTCTCTACCACCCGACTTTTCCCTCACCTGTACCCCCTGCTCACCACCTGACTCCCTCCCCTGTACCACCACCTGCTCTACCACCTGTAA